TCCAATTCTGAATTGGCTGACATTTTCTCTGAGTGGAACAGGGGGGAGCTGGAGAGCTTTCTAATTGAGATATCAGCAGATATCTTTAAAGTTAAGGATGAACATGGTGATGGGGAATTGGTTGATAAGATTTTGGACAAGACTGGGATGAAAGGAACTGGGAAATGGACTGTGCAGCAAGCTGCTGAGCTTTCTATTGCGGCGCCGACAATTGCAGCGTCTTTGGATTGTAGATACTTGAGTGGATTGAAGGAGGAGAGGGAAAGTGCAGCTGAGGCGTTGAAAGAAGCAGGATTGAATGATGGCGTGGGGTCAGTGAGGAGTGGGATTGATAAGAAGAAGTTGATTGAAGATGTCAGACAGGCTTTGTATGCCTCCAAGATTTGCAGCTATGCTCAGGGCATGAACTTGCTGAGGGCCAAGAGCATGGAGAAGGGATGGAACTTGAATTTGGGAGAGTTGGCAAGGATTTGGAAAGGTGGATGCATCATAAGAGCTGTGTTCTTGGACAGGATCAAGAAGGCATATCAGCGCAATCCCAACCTTGCAAGCTTGCTGGTGGATCCTGAGTTTGCCAGAGAGATGGTGCAGAGGCAGGCTGCTTGGAGGAGGGTGGTTGGGTTGGCGATATCGGCGGGGATCAGTACGCCAGGGATGTGCGCTAGCCTCGCCTATTTTGACACATACAGGCGCGCTAGGCTGCCTGCCAATCTTGTGCAGGCGCAGAGAGACTTGTTCGGGGCTCATACATACGAGCGGGTGGATCGCCCAGGCTCCTTCCACACAGAGTGGACAAAGCTCGCTCGGAAGGCAGATGCTAGTGTTGGCATTCTCAACTGAGCTTGTGTGATGCTGCCTTCCCATTTGGTTGGTTTCCCTTCTCTGCTTCATTAGTGTGCAAATTTCCTACTTGATTTTGCATGCCTTTTCAATTGTTGTAGTTGTTTTCTTGTTTGTATCACAATCTAGACAGTCATCCATGCTTCTTAGGGAGTAGATAGTAGATATTTTTTTACTGGCCTCAAGTACTTGCCATGAATAAGAACTAATGAGGAAAATAAACGAAAAAAAGAAGAAGATGGAGCTGCAAGCATGGCCATTTGAGTTCTTTTCACATCTCTTTGTAGTTCATAACGATGAATTTCCCTTTTGTTTAATCAGTCTTTGAAGCTGGAATGAGAATAATTATAAGTTCTGATTTAGAGCTTGATTCTGTTGATTATTTCAGTTTGGTGATCTTTGATGAATTAGTGTGTTTGGAATGGTTTTGTAGGGTTCCTTTTCCCAAGTTTTTCCAAAATTTTCGAACACCAAGAAAAATTCGAAGGTATTTTTTAGTTAATAAGAGGCACTCGACAATGTGTGAATCAACATGGTCTCTTCTGTCATTTTTATTCTCACTACTTTAGCTTCCTTGATCTTTAGTTTACCAAATTGCTTATAAACTCCACACTCAAATTAACCCATTAAATTCATCGCCTACTTGAAATTATAAAATCTTGTGCTTTCCAAGACTTATTTAAATTTTCCTACTGTTACTTATTCAAATCTTCCTAGCTTTTCCTTAAGATTTTAAAACGCATCGGCTAGGGAGAAGTTTTCACATGCTTATGAGGAATGATTAGTTCCCCGCTCTAATTGATGTGGGATCTTACCATCCATCTTCATGGAGGCTAGCATTCTTACTAGTACATTGTTCGGTGTCTGGCTATGATACCATTTGTAAGAGCTTAGGCCTACCGTTAGTAGATATTATCCTTTTTGGCCTTTTCCTTTTGAGTTACTTCTCAAGGTTTTTAAACCATCTATGAAGACTATCATTAAGATTTAATTGAATTTCTCACATAAACTAATTAGGAATACTTATTTATATCAAAATTGAGATATTACAAATTGTTACTTTAAAAGAAATTCGTAGATACAAAGCAAGAGAAGGTAATTCAAACTTATATCTAAGACCATTATATAACATATAATATATGTTTGAATTGAAATTTGATTTTAATACAACAACAAAGTTACAAAGTTACATTATAAGTAATTAAAGCTGAGGAAAGAGAGAGATTTCAGAAGCCAAAAGGAAAATGAAGGGAAAAGTTAGAAAGTGAATGAAATTAAGGCTACGGAAAACTTGAATTCTCAAGAACCGGGATTGTTCTTGTCACAGCGGCACTTGGCATTTTGCTGTTGCCAACCCATCTACTCTGTAGAACCAAATCTTCATCAGCTTGTTTCTCCATTATCTGAATCTTCTTCGTCCTCAAAGCTCTGATCGAAACCATGGCCGCATAACCAGCCACCACCACCCCACCAGCGCTCAAAACAAACCCAATCACCCACAAATACCACGTCTTCTTCTTCCTCTTCAACTTCGAAACCACTGCAAAATAGCCCTGTTTTTTCGAGTAACAAACGTTGAGGGAGGAGCCCATTTGGGTCAGATGAAACCTACCATTTTCATCAAACTCTGCACACCTTGTGTTCGACGATTTGCCTGAAGGTAATTTCATGTCTGGGAAGTGGATTTCTACTGGATTTTCCATTGTGTTGATGCTGAGTTTTGTGATGTTTTTCGTTTCTATATTTGATGTGGCATTGAAAACCATGAATCCAACTACTGGAGTTTGAAGTGAGAAGCCTGGAATTTCAAAGTAGGAAGAAGACAAATTGCCGAAGTCTTGGTACACAATTACCATTCTTCTAACGTGGGGCACCGGCAAGGTGTTTGATGGAATGCCAATGTGACTGAAATTAGCTCCTTTTTCCCACAGCCTCCGGCTCCTTAGCCTGACAACCGAGACCTCCATACCAGAGAGATTTGCCGGGAGGTTAGCTCGGTACAAGGCGCCCGTATATGGCCTGCGTCGAACCAACGTCTTGAAGGCAGTTTCTTGAAGAAATGCATCCATAGAGATAGACTCATTGCCCTGCAAAGTGTGAACAAATGGGCAGAAAGTGAAAGAGATAACCAGGAAGATGAAGTTCCATTTCATGTCGAGGTAAGCAAATTTCCAGGGTGCTTTGAGAACCTCAATTCTGTTAGCTAAACTAGCTATGACTTTCTCTTGGTGGGTATCTTTAGAAATTTGATGTCTTTGTGAATGGATGATTTGTGCTTGTTGGAGAGCAAGCATGCTCAAGAAATGGGACCCCAAAAGGGGACAACAGGAAGCTGGAATTATGGATCAAAGGGTCACTTCGGATTTTCTTTTTTTTACTTTGAAAAAAGTAGAGAACTTTGGGAGTGGGTTACCTTTGATTTCTCTAACTTTATAAAGCAATAAGCTTCTGGTGTAAAGGGAAGGGTAAATTATTCACAACACTTGGATAAAGTTCTGTTGCTTCTAAGGTACTTGAGTATTGCTTGTGATGTTTATCACTCATAATGGGCTTGGTTTGATTTCTTAGTCAGTTCTTAAACAAGCAAATCTTGGGTGTATAAGTTTACTTTTTGAAACCGGAAAATTATATCCAACATCAATTCTTATTAGGTTCGTTCTTAAACGTTTTTAAGAACAAATGGTATCAGAACTAGACATCGAGCGTTGTGCTAGCGAGAACATTGGCTCCCAAGGAGGTGGACTGTGACCCGAATGTGGAAACTTCTCTCTATGATAGATTGTGAGATTCCACAACCATAGTGTTGGAAATGGAGCTATGATGCTCAAGATTTCAGACCTTCACTTCAAGTAAGCATGATGGTTCTCTAAAATATCGAGCACGATATTTTAGGTGACCAAGGTGCTGGGTTTGAACTCTATCATATTAAATGTCCCATTCTTTTCTATTATGGTTCAATATAGGCTATACATCATCCTTCAAATACTAATTTTTAGATTAAATTATCGTAGGAACATTGATATCATATTAAAAAAAAAAAAGAAGTTACTTATTAAAACTAATAGACAATAAATAAATAAATAAATAATCATTTTTTTAATATTGAACCATTGACAATTCTTTTGAAACTATCTCTAGAATGCAAAATCAAAATAAAATGAACACGTAAAGATACTCCATAATTATTTAGCCAAGAAATTAAGGACGAAAAGATAAGATATGTCCCTAGCGTTACGAGCAAGAAGCATTATTTTCAAAAGAGAAATCAACGACCACCATTGATTACTCTCCTAAATTGAAGGAATATTGACATTAAAAAACAGTACACTTTGCTTCCCTTCTTCTTCCATTTCATCATTCACAATAATGATTCCTATAAAAAGGTATCTTATGTTACTTATACCTTCTGGATTATGTAAATTAATCTAACTTTATGATTAATATAACAAAAAAAAAAAAAAAGTATTTGAAATAATAATTATTTCGAACAAGCAAGACAATACGAACCTACTTGGCAGCTCACACGCCTTCTCTTAATGGAATTATTATAGTTTAAAAAAAAAAAAAAAAATAAACAAATTTTCTTCCTATTTTGTGTTTCTCACATGTAAGTAATAATATATTGTTGTCATTATTATTTCATAAATAATTTGAATAAATATTTTGATATATTTTTTAAATTTATTAGTTAGCGTTATTTTTTTTAATGTTTTAAAATACTATTTGATGGTAAGAAAATTTATTTAATATTTTTTAAATTAATTATTTTAAAAAATTCTAAATATTTTAGAGGGCTACTAAATACATAAAAGTTTTGAATTATTTACATAGTCATGTCCTTTACATATGGTTATGAGTCACTTTCTACTTCATATTTCTAAATATATTATTATTTTAATGTTTCAAACTAATAAAAAATAATTTAATTATACTAAATTATTAGGATAATACATATTTAAAAGAACAGAGATACTAGTAATACTTTTTAAATTTTCATTATTTTAAATATTTAATTAGACTTTTATAAACCATTATTCATTATTTTAAATTACCGTTAATAATTAAACTGTAAATCGATTAAAAAATAATATAAATTAGCAAGGGGAAAAAGATATACGTACCAATAGCCCAATAAGTCAGCCCATTTGAACTTATGAGGAAGCCCTAGGCCTTTTCATCTTCCTTTCATTCTCACGTCCGGTTGCTTCTACCACCTCGCCGCCGCCTCTCTCCGGTTCCGCGCAAAAATCCCATTCATCTTCCTCTCACGTGCTTCACGCCGTGTACTTCTCCGTTTCAGCATAGCAGCTCAGTATCGCCGTCGTCCTTCTTCGCCCCCGAAGTCCCCTCATTGCGGTTTTGCACTGGTTTTTTACTCTGTTACTGGTAGTCTCCCATCTCAATCTATGCCTTTTTTCTCACTTGAACAACACAAATTAAGGCTTTTCTAATGATTGAAAGGATTGCTTGTTTGATTTTTTAAACGCAAATTGGACGTGGTTTGCGTTTGGATGCTCTGATTTGGACAAGAATCAGTCACCCAATTCTCTTTTAATTTTTACCTTGTAGAAGCTATTTTGATTGGTCCATCAGCTTCAACCATATTTGTATTGTAGGTTTGTAGATTATGGTTGAAGAAGCCAATGAAACTAATTTCTTTTTAAAAAAATTGAAATTCTCTCCTATATGGAATGCAATAACCAATTTTACTATGAACTTATGGAAATTAAACTTACATGATAGGTATCTAGTTCATGTGCTTCGTTAAAAGAGTTTTCGATAATGTTCAGAAATATTAAATTTGGTGTCTAGTAGGTCCATAAATTTTTAAAAACGTCAAATATGTCACGGACCTATTACAAAAAATATTGTAATTTAGGTATTTGTTGGACACAAAATTGAAAGTTTAGGGACCTATTAGACATTTTAAAGTTTAGAAACCTAATAAACATAAACTTTAAAGGTGAAAGTTTTGTTGCATGACCGTTCAGACATCCCATCTGTGACCTGTTTCTGTTTTCTGTTTTTTTCTCTAACTCTGCTCATGGTTTTTTTTTTTTAATTGTTATTATTATTATTTTTTATCACATCTTGATTTCCTGCAAGTGTCATGCTTTATTTGAATACCGGTTCTTTAATTCCTTCGTCTCTCGGCAACAAGTTCCATACTTGAAACATTGATGAAATATTTTCATCAAATATTTGGATGTCTAATATCTTCTTTTAATATCAAGGATTAATATGTGTGAATCCGGTTGCATTGTGTGTTTCTTTTACCTGTTAGTGTTATGTGGGGCATTTTGTGATTCACACTTTTTGCTTATGCTTTCGTCCAGGTTGCATCTAGTCCTGTAAGTTTCACTTGGGTGTTCGGAAGTCTCATTGGGTTGCCTCAACTTTGCAATGACTGAAACCACGTGAGATCTTTTCTTTTTTGTGGAGTTCCTTCATTTTTTTCTTCGTATTTGCTTGTTTTTGTGTCTTAATTCTAGAAGGATCTGGTCAACATAAGGGCTTTAAAAGTTACTTTTGGCAAATGGCAAATGACGAATGGCAAAGTCTTGTCTTCAAAAGGAATTTTGATTATGAATTTTCTGCATAACAGGTCTAGGATATGTGTGAAGAATTTGCCTAAGCACATAGATGATCATCGCCTTCGTACCTTGTTCTCTGAGAAAGGAGAGATTACAGATGTTAAGCTCATGCGCACCAAGTATTTTTCATACCCTTGTCTTGATTGTTTGAATGTTTCTGCCTTTGGTTGTGTCGTTTTGATCCTTATGAGATAAAAAAATGAATTTGCTTCATATATTTTGGTTACAATATGCTATTTTCTTCTTCATTTTTTATTTTCAAGGGATGGGAAGAGCCGGCAATTTGCTTTCATTGGGTTTCGCACGGAACATGAAGCTCAAGAAGCGATACGATACTTCAACAAATCTTTTCTCAACACCCACAGGATTGCTTGTGAGGTCTGTAGTATATTTTGGCTTTGGCTTAGTTATTATTTTGGTATTTTACATTATTGGTGTTGTATATTTTCTTTCTTGCTCTGGGAAAATTCTGTTCGTGAACTTTTGCCACCATAGAAATTTGAACTCTACTCTCCAACTGTGCTATACCGAAACATCAAATGATTGATGATTAGAACCTTAACCATGTGATATTTTTTGGAAGTATAACAGAACATTATGATATTTTTTGGAAATCAAAGGATTTAATTATACTACTTTTCCACTATATATACAAGGGGCTGTTTGTTCATTCATTTGCTTCAAGCGCTCAAATGAAAATGTGGAAGAATTTAACTATTAGTCGGATTTATAATGTTATAGTTGTAATTAAGGTATGCTCTTAGCAGAATTTAGGAGGACAGTGGAAAACTAGAGGGTTTCAGGATCATGAGAGTTTAAATACCTTAGGTTTGTTGATGGTTCCGTTGGTTTAAGTAAAGATGTTTTTGTTGCCTCCCAATGCCCTTCAATGCTTTGGCAATGTATCAAACTCAGCACAACTGTTTCGACAATTATTGCAAACAAAATGTCATTTAGGTTTTGTGTGGGCATCTGTTTAAAGAGAGACTATGCCACTTTTATTTTTTGGATTACATGTGGTAAAAACCACGATTTGTTGGATGGAGAGAAATAAAAGTCTTTGAAGAGGAACTTTTGTTTTCATGGAATTTTTGGACCTTATCAAATACCTACCTTTCTAGTTGGTGTATTTTTTTTTTTTTTTTTTTTTTTGCCAATT